TTTATAATCACTTCACACTGCAGAGTAGACAGCATATACTGGGGTCCCATTTATTAAAGTGAAAGGACCCCATGGAACATGAAACGGAAATACAGTCACATAAGAAAAATGTGGATTAGAACTGTAGCTATCAAGGTTACGTAAAAATTATTTGTAAAAATATAATTTAACTGCTGGTTTCAAAAGTACATTTATAGATTTCAGCATACACCTATAAAGTAAGAAAGTATCACGTCTATTTTAGGAATGAGGAAACAGAGGAAAAGCAGGTAATGGAGTGAGACAATAGCAGGGAAAAAAGTGGAATCTTTATAGTTTTTTAATTTACCAGATGTTCAGCAGTAGCAAAGCAGTCCAGGTTTCACTTCCTTCTCCAAAAGCTTGATGTAGATAAAAATCCACAAAAGTAAATAATGCAGATTTATAAAACTAGATTTTAAAAAGTATGCATTTGTACGTGATATAATCCTTTTACCTGTTTAGTAATGACTTCACTTAAATTATCATGCAGTTTACCCATTCTGCAGCAAATAAGCAGTTCTTACGTGCTGTAAAGTTCTTTTGCTTTTTTTCCTTGAAGATAGTGTATTCTGTCTGTGCAGACTGAACTTAGAGATTTATGTTCCCGTTTATTTATGTATTGGTGGCTGTAGTCAGTGACTGTTTTCCAACTCAATTGTGTAGATTAATTTGAATATGTCTCTACCAATTCAGGGAATGCACAATTAGATTACTGGTTTGGACAGGTTTCCAAAGGTAGGTTCTTTCCTTGATTGCAAATAGCCATGAAATTCTCCCTGTGAAGGCTACCACACTTCACTCCAAGGAAATTCAGCTCTTCCTTCTTACCCTCTTCCGGGCCATTGCGTGCAGGGAGTTGGTGTGCTTTTTCTGAGAAGAAACCATCTCAGTACCAAAAGCTCAAAGTAGTGTTCAGGCATGCTTATGTCACTGTGATAAAGTGTTACTGAGCTTCAGGCTCCTTCACTTACTTTTCATGTTTGCTTATTATCTGGCTTGCAGTTTTTGTGTTCTCTCTAATTGTTTCAGTTGCAGTGTATTATTGTAATCTTAGGCTTTGTACTCTTGTGCAAGCTTGATTTTGATCCATTCTGCATCTCTTCCTCTGCTTGATAAGTGCTTCAAGTGTGTTCAGATACACCTCACACACGTACTCTGGGTTCAAACTCATCAGTTCCTTGGACAGCAAGAGCAGGGTTGCTCTAGTATTCCACTTTTTCCTACACGGGAAGTTCTGAGTGGAGTCCCTTGACTTTATGAAGACTTCAGAAAGGGGAAACAAGAAATTCCCCTGACTCAAGAGTATGTCCTGCAGGACAGGTGGTACTTGGCAGTTCTCCCCATCTTTCAAGAAAGGAGGTGAACAATGCAGAAAGGCATTCTAAAGGTCAATTTAAACATATACAAATTATAATAGTCTGTAATAGTAAATGATAACAATATTAACATGCATATAGAGTTATAAGTAATACATAAAATTTTACTACTTTAGAGAGAGAAACTGGTTTTGAAGCTTATTTGTCAAGTTGATATATTTAGAGAACAGTTAACAGCAAGTTACAGAAAGCTGGGGATATCAGAAGTCAGAAACATTAACAAGACCTTTTGTTTTAACATATGATGTTTGAGTTAAAAGGTCTTGTTTTGTCCTTTATTAATTCTGTGTTTGAATTTGCAAACTCGATGATTCTCACAATTCTACTAATTTATTCAGTATCTTTTTAGGATTTTTACATTTTTAATCATCTTCTCTTGGGATTACATTATTGCTGGGTAGTGGCTGCTTTTGTTTGGAAGAGGAGTTGCAAAGGCCAGAAACCATGCATGGAAAAAAAATTGCAAGAGAAGCTATTGTTTAATCTGTTAATTGGATATAGAGTAGAAAGATACCTTTATTTTTCCATTTTAATCTCTTGTTTGTGCTGAGAAAAAATAGTAGTCTACAGCCCTGTGGATTATGTTAGAAGCTAGACATGTGTGGCCTTTCACTCTGAAGTGGTTTATGTACCACAGTTAAATTCCCTTGAAACACTTACGGTTTTGGGAATGAAGGTGCAGATATATCCTGAATTATGGTAAGTTATAAGCCTACCTTTGTGTATAGCCAAGAAGGACTGGTGTTCTACTGTTATCTGACTTCCCTTTTCCATCATGAAGAATTTTTATCAAAGCTATGGGAAATACTGTCCTTTTTCAAATAGTACAAAGATGCCTATATTAGCTGTTATGTATACCAAAGGATTCAACATAGTGACTTCCACATAGAATTGCACAGTCAAGCCCATACTACACAGTATTGAATTATGCATGACATTTTTAATGGTGGAACAAAAAGAGTAGCAGAAGGAACTGCTGCGAAGGACATGCTGCCTTCACTGGTTATTAGGCACTGGTGTTCGTGCGTGCAAATCCCAAGATATTCTTTGTTGAAACTCTGCTGTTTTATACAAATCTAAGCTATATGGAACTAATATCTAATGAGGGAAGATTAAATAAAAGAAAACTCCTGACACAAGGAAGTCCAGAATACATACCAATTTACTGTACTTTAGAGAGTGAAAAATAAAAATCTTGTATTTAGTTGGATGCTGAAAGTATTGACTAGTGTAAATATTTACTGTACAATCATTGTGAGGTTTGGTCTTGTTTGATAGTCCACAGTGATGATCCCTGTCAGTGTCTATTCAGTGAAAACTGGGAGAATGTAACTAAAATTACTTAAAGAAGAGCTGATGCATTTTAAGAGGCAGCTGTGATCTAAAGTCAGTTCATTGAAATTCCATACCCTGTTGTATATATTTTGATATATTCCATATCCTGTTGGTTTCAATATTGAATTTTTGCCAACAAATACAATTATATATGCTTGGTCGTTGAAAGTTGAGACTGACCTAATAGACCTGCTGTGTAATTTTTTGAATATCCAAAAGGTGTCAACAGAAAGCTTGGTAAGGCTTGTTGCTGTATTGATTTTCTTCCCAAATGCACCAAACACTGGACTAAGCATTTTTGGAGCCTTTTATAGTAGTAGATGAAGGTGGCATTTTCTTTTTTTTTTTATACTCTAGTCTAGAAAAAGATATGTCCTAAAAAAATTACTTGAGCTTTCTTGTTAATTTCTTGTTGCTTGAGGGTTGCCTGGTTTTCTGGTTGTTGCCTGGGGCAGGGACCAACATGGTGATACCAGGATGCTTGATTCATCCACCTGGGATGCTTTCCTGTCAGCCAGGGAAGGTGTTAACCCCCTGCCTCCCAGTCCTCCTCAATGCAAAAACAAGCCTGGCTCTTCTCACATGCAGATTTGACTATGCAGAGAGGCCCCCACCGCTCCCTTCCACTTACCTGTGGAGTTGAGCCATGTCTCACCAGCTCCCTCCTTACCAGCCTTCAAAATCCAGCCATCTCTCGCAACACCATCTGTAACTTCTGCCAGCTGCTGATGCTGTTGCTTATTGCATGCTGCCGTTTCTTGGGTTGTGTTGGGTAGTTTCCTGTGTCCTGTTCGCTTCACTTCACCTCAGGCCAGGCCCTAATGAGTGTTTGCCTGCAGGCCAAACACTGACCACTGACCTTTGTAACCACCCCTTTAAAGGTTACCTGTTGCATGGTTATCAGTGTATGGTGCTGGAGGGACTTTCTGGAAGAACAGAAAACTCAAGGCATTTATGAGTCCTTCCCTGGAAAACTGAAAGTGTAAAACTTCAGAGATCTTTGCTGCCAAGTGCATTTCATTGAAATCAAATATTCCAAAATAATTTCCTCACATCTTTCCCTCCCAATTGCAGAAGTTTATTTTCTTTTTTTGTAGCGTTATAATGCTGTGAGTTTTACAGGGTAGACAAAGTTTCCCAGGTCCTGATAGTTACTGAAAAATAGAAATGGAAGGAAAACTTCAAGGGGGAGCATCTCAGAGAGAAGAAAAAATAAATAGTTTACTACCAGGCCAGGCTTAAAAATATTAGAAAAGAGAAAAGCATTGCCATAGCCACAGTATTGCTTTCCAGATATGCAAACACTGATTAAAAAAAGCAAAAAGTATTTTTCAGGGTGTGAAGGCTTATGTTAAAGGTTACCCTGTCATACTACGCTCTGCTGTATTGCCAACACAGTACTACTGTATCACCATCAGTCCAGTGCAAACTTGATTTATTACTATTTTGATAGCCAAACTCTACTAGATCTAACTTAATTTCAGGTTCTCTAGCATCATGCAATTTATAATATCCAATTACCAAAGCTATGATTTGTTATTACCACTGGTAAAGCTACTGTCAATTTGTCTTGGCTTCACTATATGGGGTTTATTGTTATTTATTTATTTTTACTTCAAGTCACTGAGTACACTCGATTGGTTGCTATTTTAACAAGATCTCTGGAGAACTCTTCAGCAATGATGCATGTTAAGAAGAAAGCCAGAAAGCAATTTACTACAAAGCAGATACCAGATGAGTGGGCAATAGTCTAGAGTTCAACAACAAAAAAACTTTAACCATGAAAAGAGTTTGTTAGCATATGCTAGTGTCACACTTTGAAAACATAAGGAGAACAAGATAAGAAGCAAAGTCATTGCCTCACTGGAGTCAGTGACAAGGTTTCTGCTGATATCATGGAAGTGATCACTTTGTCCCTTGCGTTATTTGTGGGTGCGTTAGGTACATTTCTAGTTTTGTTATGACATAAACGGTGCTTTTGTCAACACTGGAAAAATTGTAGTTAGAGTCTGTATTTTTCTAAAACTCTCTTTTGAAAAATTTATCAAGTATAACATAACTTTGTGTCCCAACTTCTCATCGAATTTTTCAGCGCAAGATATACTCGGATTTGATTGGGAAAGATATACCAAGCATAGTAGACCGCTTCCATATGTGCTTTCCAAAGAAAAGTTCTCAGCATTTTATATTCCTAAGTATAATCTTGATGTGGTCATAATTGTTAAATATAGGTGATATTTTGAGACATATGATCTTCTCTGTTTCCAGGTGGGCCATGCACAGGTACAGCTCATGCCTCGTTAACCACACCAACCAAAAGATCTTGCGACTCAGGTATGTGTTTTGTGGGGGTCAAGGAATTCGATTTTTGCATGATATGTACCTTTAATAGTCAAGGGTAGTAACTATATCTGATGAATGCCAAATGAAAATAAATACTGTTGCTTTGCTGTCAGAAATGTCTTTATATAAAAGGATTTGTATGGCAGATAGCTCATCTCAGAGTCCTGTTAAATATAATTCCATAAATATACTGTTTTCAGTTAATATTTATGAACATATGATGGGAGTAATCAGTTTGATTTAAGTCTAGTGCTTGTGATAGTGTTCTGGAAATTCCCCCTTTAACTGTGAAGTATTGAGTAGAAAACTGTTTTGAATATAGTGACTTTATTTTCCATGATTGAAAGACAGCTGACGTTTGCATTGAGACTAAATTTCACCTGCTTTGAGTCCTTTCGATGACTGTATTTCTACATGGAGGATATAGATGGATAATCTCTCAGATCTAGTGTTCGTAGGGACATGTCAGGTCATTGCCAGGCTGAAGTTGCTGCTTCTGCAGCAGATCTGTGAACTGTGTGAGCACTCATCCAGGCAGGCAGCCAAGTTACATTGGCTCAGATCTTTTTGACTTTGGTTTTGCATGGATTAAGGAGAACTCATATGATCCTTTCAACCAGCATCACTGTGGGAAGCCATAAACTCTTGTGCAGTGGCAGGCATCTGGGTAGTGATAATCTTCTAGCAGTCTGGATTTCAAAATAATTTTTGCCTGCATTTGCATTTATGTACTAGTTGAGCTGTATTGAATGTGCAGAAGGGAAGGGTTTTCCTGTTTGATTAAGGGCTCTTATTCTTTCAGAAGTTCAAGGTGATTTCCTCTGAAATAATTAATTCAAAAAGTTTTAAGTTACTGTATGTTCAGCTGAACAGTAGGTATTCCATATATGCATGTTGTTAGCTTGCAGCCAATGTGTGATGATGCAAGTTGGCTTGGTCTGCGGTGAAGGAAGGTTAAAAAGAATAGTACCTTGTACTTGGTGCAGGTGCAGACCTCTCCAGTAGTGCATGTTAATCTGTGACAATGCTGTGAGTATTGTTTGTCTAAGTTTGGCACTGGAAGATACTGGATCCAAATTCTCCAGAATAGGAAGACTCTGGATTTTCTTTTCTACATAGCCACAGAGGTGTACCTAAACAAGATGGAATGTTTGCCGCTGTATCCCTTGCAAACTAATCTGCTTTGCTCACACTATTACTAAATCATATTTTTTTAATACATTAGCTGGTTTAAGTATGGTTTTCATTGCAGGATAATTTAAAAGCTTTCTATGGTGGTATAGATACTGAAAACTGAAGGTACTATATGAATACTTAAAAAAATGTGCTTGTGATTAGCAAAAAGTTTGCTATTTGGAATGTCAAATGGCAATGGTAAAAGCTTGTTAGAATAAAGCAGATGAAGCTACTGAACATGTTGAAAAATATCCATTAAAAGGTTGGCTAATTTGCTAGTTCTCTTGGTTTTGGTTTATGCTAATGTTTTGTCCCTACATGCTTGTGTGTTAATCATTAATCTTAATTTGATGCCACAAGTTTCATCTTCAGTCAACTAAACCCAATGATTTTATATTACCTCAGTTTTCCCCAATGTTTTTTAACATTTGCTCAGTGAGCTGCATGTTTTGTTTGTAGTCCCTGACACTAATAAACCTGTTACCAGGAGTTACAGTTTTCTTTTCCACCACTTGAATTTTCAGCAGACTTTCATTTTTAAATGTGTTTTCAAAGTCTGCATTTGGGAATCCAGATAGATATGAGAATTGACAAGAAAACAATGGCTACAAATTATTACCCAGAAATGGTGTGACATCTTCAGGCGTAAGCAGCAGACTATGTAGGTGCATATTTCACATGGCATTCACTTAAGCTTAGTGTCCCTTCCTAGGAAGCTATTAAAGTGATACAAGCAATATTTGTCAATAATAGACATTGAGTATAAGCCTCTTTTCTGTAAGTATTCTACATTCCTTCTGCTTGGAAGAGCTTTGAAGGAAGATGTTTTGGTGGAATTCATCTGTGTAATTTTTTTCCCCCTGTAAGCATAGTTTTTCCCTACAGTCTGCCATATATCAGCATTTGAGACAGAAAATTAGAAATTTGACCTACTTATCTTGTATGCAGGTTCCCATCAGGAGGATATTAAGGAAGACATAAACCTTTCATATTTTATTAGCATTAATGTAACCATTGAAGAAAGATCAAAACAATAAATCTGCCAAGACACAGGAAGAGTTCTCTTTAAAAAAAAAAAAAAAAAAAAAAAGAGTTTTTTCCTCATGCGCTTGTCAACTTGTATGCTGGAGGAGCTGTTCAGATAAAAAATTGTATTATGACACCAAATGGTGGGTATTTTCCTCCTCTTGTTTGCTAGAACCATCGCAGTGGTAAAAACAGTATTTCTGTTCCAAAGTATGCCCATAGTACAAGGATTATAATGAAAAGAACAAATAAAGCTTGGCAATCGTTACTTTGGATGATGCCTCAAAGGTTTTTGAAAGCCAGCAGTCTGAAGATTTTGTAGGAAAAAAGATGGAACTCTGTGGCCTAGTGTATAGCTTCTTATGTATTTTGGTTTGTTTCGTAATGGTTAGGTAATGTTACGATTGATGGCTTATTCTAGTCGGTAGGGCATCCAGATCTCATTTATATTGGGTGCCTGTGTTGTGGAAGTGCAGCACTAAGTGGCATATTACTCTTTTTTTTTTTTTTTTTTTTTTTTTTTTTTTTTTTTTTTTTTTTAATGATGATATAATACACAATTCTAAACAGCCAGATTTTAAAACATTTTCATGCAGCTTAAAGAAACCTGGAAAAAATTGGTGGAACTGTGTGAGTGCGCTCAGTTAATTTTTAATTGTGTGGTAGAGAAGGTAGTAGAAACAGGCAGATAAAATGCAGTAATGATACAATCAATTCATACATTATATCCATAAAGTCGGTGAGTTTTTAAGTACTTTATTTCTCAGTAGCAGTTCATGAGAAACATGCATCTTTAATATTTTGTATAGTTCATGTGCTCACATTTTATGAGGTTATATCTGTTCTAGATGGGTGTGGTAGTATTTATATTGTACTAGATTGCAGTATCTCTCTCATTGCTCTACACTTTTGCTAGTTTAAATTTTAAGTCTAGAAGATGCAAATAATTTTTCCCCTGCTTGAGCAAAGCAGTTAAGCAGGTGTATGGTCCTTTCTGAAGTTTTGGATTTATTGATGTCCTTTTACTAATATATGTGCTTGATCATAGCAGTGCCAGAAACCTAAATGCTTTGAGAGTGAATGTGTACAATCAAGAGGACAGCCTTTTGGGAGTTATGAAAAGGGCAGGCGGTGGAAATACACAAATTTTGAGCCAAAACCAAGAAATAATTACTTTTTTCATGATCATTTTTTATCAATCTCTATGTTGAATAAGGACAAAAAGACCTGGTACACCACTAACTAGATTTTATATTTTTTTAATTGCTCTGAAATGTTAAACTCCTGAGCAAAAAATACACTAAATGATTGAAGGGGGTTTATAACATTAAAACAACTTTGAGGTATGTTTCTCATTGGTGTTCCGATGGACTTTTAAGGTGTTCTTTAGCGTTTGACTTCTAGAGGGCATTGTGTTAGAAATCCAACCTTCTTGGGACTCTCTCACTGACAGGAAAGTGATGATAGAACCAGCCTTTGAGCAGCATAATAAATCGCCCATCCCTGGCAATAATAGTGTCCATTAGGGATGTGCTGCTTTTTCCCCCCCCCCCCCCAGGCTGTAAATAAAAGTTATAACCTAATAGGTGGGCGCTGAAGTGGAACGGACAGGAGCTGAGGCATGGAGGCCTTATTACTGCTCATCAGCAATTATAAACAGAATAAAGTGTCCGGGACTTGCACTGATGCAGCAGGAGCTAATAGAGGCTGGGAGATGACACTGTACCATGATCAGATGATGTATGTTGATGGGTTTTTACTATCTCCTCTTATTGCCCATTTCTGTGATGTGTTGTATTATCTGTTCTGTGCTTCCACTATCTATCTGGATGGACAGATTGGTTTCCTCTCCTGCTCAAAGGAGCTTCAGCTCATCTACTCAAGCTTGCTTTTTTGTACATATACTTTGCATTAGTTGCCAGTACTACTTATCTAAGAATCTCCTCAGCATGTTATGATTATTGTCGATTAAAATCCTCCTAATGGTAAGGATCATAATAGTCACATCTGTAAACAAATTTAAGGGCTTGCTGCAGTTGTAGGATTTATTTTCACTATCAACTTGTTCAACTTTACAAAATGGCCCTCATTCTTTAAAAATAGTGGATATGGTCACCTGAACTATTTTTTACACTAAATGCGTCCCATGCATTTTAGACTAAATACGTTTATATCCAGTGTAGTTGGAAAATCAAAAGAGATGGGTTGTGTTTGGGGTCAATATATCAGAAAGTTTGTTAAAAGTCAGCTATAGCTGTGATGATCCTTGCCTTCAAGTTATAAAGACATAAAACTGTTCCTGGGAAGGTCTTTAAGAGCTTGTTAGCATGCAGTAATTGGTAATACTCACAAAAAAAAGGTCTTTCTTGATCTTTTACTTATCACAGTCTAGCACATTTTTGTGCTCTTTACTAAACCATAGTGGGAAAAAAGAATGCCTTGAAATTTAGCCTGTACTTGCTTTAATCTAAAGAGAAGTTCTGCAAGCATCTTCATAGTTCATACATTAATCACTCATGCTGTTTATTTATGAAGAGAATTTTCTTCTGAGTAGTGTAAAAAATACTGCATTCAGAAATGAAAAGGTGTGCAGCAGCATGACTGCATGTGAAAAGAGTGACTCCTATCCTTGTCTATTCAGTACAGCCAGGATAAAATAAATAGATTATTCTTCTGTCATTAGGATGGGAATACTTACATCTGCCTGTTTTAAAGTACACTAAACTGAGATGAATGGAAACTCATCCTTTTCATAGTCGGTATTTGAAATTAACTTTAACACTTGTTTC